AAAATCGCGAGAAAAAAAACCATAATTAACAATATATTATTCCTTTAAAACTCAACAATCTGTCACTGACAGATTTTTTTAATGCTAATAAGTTTATTTCAATAATCAATTTACGGTCTAATTTCGATAATTTAGAAGTCTAAATGTTCTAGTTATTATTGCCTTAGTCATCACCCCTTTTAGAAGATTTTCGTTCAGTCAACTTCATTTCTTTAGCTAAATCTGGATATTCATTCCTAACCCATTCAATAATTTCATATTCATACCTACTTTTTCTTGGTACGTCATGTAAAAAATTTAATAAAGATCTTATTGTTTTTACTTCAGGCTTAAATCCGTTATTCTTCAATTCACTCATTAAAACGTTCTTAGCTTCATCAAATAATTGATTACGAGCTAAAGCTTCAATATATGAATGATAATTGTTAAGATTTAAAGGAAATTTCTTGTCATGAAGATATTTCCAAATATTTAAAATTCTATGAATGACTCTTCCATAACCACATGAATCTAGAATAATCGATACTGTAGAATTATCAATTGGTAGTTCACCAGTTATTAATAAATCCCAAATCAAAAGAACTTGATGTATATGACCACATCTATTATAAGCGTCCATTAAAGCATTGTAAATCCCTATGTCTAATTCAACATTGAGATCCATTCTAACCAAGTTATGTACATTTCTTACTCCATCATAGTTGTATTCTTGCCCTAGTCCAGTTATGAGGGATGTATAAGTGATTACATTAGGTTTTACCTTGGATCTTCGCATTTCAACAAAAATTCTTTGTGCTTCAGCTGTTCGTCTCATTTTAACGAAAGTATCTAACATAGTTGTATATGCTTGAGTATCTAACTGGATTCCTGTTTGTTTGATTTCATAATAAAATTGCATCGCTTCTTCGGCTTTGTCGGCTTGAATAATTGCTTTTACCATGTTAGTAAATGTGATGACATCTATCATTCCTCCTTGATTGATGAGTGCATTGTATATCTCAAATGCCCCATTAAGATCAGGTTTTTTAGCATAAACATTAATAAGATCATTATAAATCTTGTGATCTATATTTATTTTATGATCAACTATCTCTTGCAAAAAACTTTTAGTTAATGCTAAATCACCTTTAAAATTTTGAAAAAGTTTATAGAAAATTCGTGATTTGTGTTCCAATGACTCTTCCATTGAAATCATCTTTCGTAATAATTCTAATGATTGATCTGTTTTGCCCGACATTACTTGTGTTGGTATTACGATAGAAAAAGTAACCGAATTTGGTCGTATTCCTTTATCCAACATCTGCTGATAAAGCCCCGAAACTTTGTTTATATCTCCTTCTTTGATCCACATTTCCATTAATATATTGAATGTGGCGACATTAGGCTCAATGTCATTACGTATTACTTCTTCATATAAATCTGCAACTTTTTTTATATGTTCATTTGAACGTAAGTTCACTCTCATTAGCTCATTATAGGCAACAATATCTAATTTTGCGCTGCTCTTAACAATATTATTTACTAGTCTATGTGGTGCCAAAAAAATGAAACTATTTCGAAAAATAGTTGCCCTTTTTTGTGATAAAGCTAAGTGAAAAAATTTAAACATTTTGTAAAAGTGTAAATTTGATTATCAGAAAAAATTCAATATTCGTGTAACTACCCGCGTACATCTATTTACCCATCAGCTTACGTAAGGTTCACTGATGATGAAATGATGATCTACGCCTACTCGGCCAATTAAAATCGCTCACGGGTAATTTCGTTATGTAGATCATCCTACATTTTTTTTTATTTTTTTTAAAAAACTTTAACTACTTGTATCTTAATGTTTACATGATCAAATTGTTAAAAAATTTTTATTTTAATTTTATGGATCTGTAAATTAAAATAAAAAATTTGTCGAATTTGGTCAAGTAGATACAGAGATATTTTTAGTTAGATAGATAGGAGCTTACCTTTTGTATTACTAGTAGTATATTTATTTATTTATTTATTTATTTAACTTTGACAGTCTTGCCAGAACCTTTATTGGAAATTAGTACCCTAGCCTCATAGTAAGACATTTGTCTGATTGGTTAATTTTGGTAGATCTACCTGTGATTGCCTATGATAATTAATCAATCAAATTACATAATTTTATTAATACTACAATACTAAAAAACAAAACAAAACTTTGAATAAGGAAGCTTACAAACTAATAAATATACACAAAAGAATGAATTACTTATATTTAGAGAATAGATAGATGTGCATAAAGTAGGCAAATATGATATTTATTACTAATAAACCCAAACTTATTAAAGAATTTATGTACAAGATCTATGTACTATATACAGTATAAACCACAACTATTAATATATAGTTAACAAGCACAAGAACTAGCCAAATTTAAATATTAAGTTCGGATCTCTACTACTAAGAGCTTGTATCTATTCAAATTAAACAGTTAAAAGTAAAAGTTTTATCTAAATCTAACATAATAAAATAGTTTTAGACAAAAATGTTGCTAGTTACCTTCACTCTACAATATAGTCCAATAAATGATAGGCATACTTTGTCTTCTAAATAAAGTTCTCAGAGTTACTGATTATTTTTGATTATTTTTGTATAGTAGAGTGAATATAAATATTTTTTCGAAGTAAAAAATGGCTTTTGTAATGATTTTTTATTAATAAAATATTATGTTTCCAAAAAGTACTTTAAAGTATATAAATAAGTTATCTAAGCAATTGATTTACATCAGCCAATTAAACAAATGTTTGACTATGAACCCTAGCCATGGCAAAAAAAACCTACTATTACATGATGAAGATTATTTCCGACCCTACCAATATTGGTATTCATACTTCTCAGTAAAAATAATATTTTTTAAAAGATATTTTGATAATAATTTTATCAAATTTGATAAAACTTTTTTATTTGAATTCTATTTTAATAGATGTTTTGATTTTCTTTTAACTTTGAGTGAAAATATCCTGATAACTACCTGGTCAAATTTAATAAAATTTTTTTATATAAATTTTATAAATTCATAGAATTCAAATATAAAATATTTTATTAAATTTGGCCAGGTAGTTATTGAGATATTTTTACTCAAAGTTTAAAAAAATTAGACATAAGTTTTTATTTTGATAGATGTTTTGATTTTTCTCTAATTTTAAGAAAGATATCTCAATAACCACCTAACCAAATTCAATAAAAATTTTTTTATTTGAATTATATGAATTCATAGAATTTAAATAAAAAAAGTTTCAATGAATTTTGTCAAGATATCTTTGTTAAAGTTAGAGAAAAATCAAAATATCTATTAAAATAAAAGCTGTATCTAATTTTTTTTAAATTTGAATGATAATATCTTGGCAACCATCTAATCAAATTTAATGAAATGTTTTATATTTGAATTTTACAGATTCATAAAATTTATATAAAAAAATTTTATTAAATTTGGCTAGGTAGTTATTAAGGTATTTACTTTTAAAGTTTAAAAAAAATTAGATATAGTTTCTATTTTAATAAGCATTTTGATTTTTCTCTAACATTGAGTAAGGATATCTCAATAACTATCTGACCAAATTCAATAAAAATTTTTTTATTTGAATTATATGAATCCATAGAATTTAAACAAAAAATTTTTATTAAATTTGGTTAAATGATTATAACTACTTAGCCAAATTCAATAAAATGTTTTATATTTGAATTCTACAAATTCATAAAATTCATATTAAATTTGGCCAGGTAGCTATTAAGATATTTTCACTCAAAGTTAAAGAAAAATCAAAACACCTATTAAAATAAAAATGTGCTGAATATTTTTAAACTTCAAGCAAAGATATCTTGACAACCACCTAATCAAATTTAATAAAAATTTTTTTATTTGAATTCTATAGATTTATAAAATTCAAATAAAAAATGTTTTATCAAATTTGATAAAATTATTGTAATCCACTAGTCAATCAAAGAGTGATCATGGTAAAATATAACTCAAATTACTTATAAAAATTAGAGGTTTCTGAATGTGGCATACACATATCTAAAACTTATTAGATATATTTTTACAAGCTTTACAAAAGTCTTTTAAGTTATAAAGGTAATTGACTTAGTATAAAAGATAAATATAATCATCACAGGGTGCTATACAACTATTTATTACACTTAAGTTTTTATTAATAAAATTATATTAAAACAAATTAATAATATGTACAACAAATACTTAACAAGCATTAAAATTTTACTAAATAAGCTAGTATTAAGATTAAGTCAAATTGGGTTAAACAAACTCTAAACTATGCTTATGATTTTATCTTCAAATTTTTCTATATAAAGATTATACCTATACAAATTTAAATTTAAGCTACTTACCTATTTATATTATCAGATCACAAACAAGATAATCTTAAACGACCCAGTTTGTTTCAAATTTTATATGCAGTTTTTCAAAACCTTGCTCCAATTTTTGCTCTTAACCTTGCATTAATTGACTTCTATTTGGGCAACTTTAAATCAGCTTATATTATAATTTTGCTCAATTATTAACCTGCATTTAACATATACTACAAGATTATACACAAACTCCATAAATAACAACTTGAAAATGTGATCTCATAGTCATCAGAACTCACAATAATAATTGACTTGTCAATTCGTTAACAAGCTTTTAAACATATCTAGCATTACTAAAGTTGGTTTTCGAATTATCTCTAAAATAAAAGATTTGGTTTTAAATGCTTTATCCCAAATTATTTTATAAATTTTTACCAAAATAAAAGCACTAATAATTGATATACAAAACTAATGCTAGTTATGCTGTACCATTAATGCTTGGAGGTTTCACAATAAAATATGTAAAATGCTATATGATTATTTATCACATCTAGATTTTATTGGCCAATTTAGCAGATCTTCTAACATGCGATATAACTATATTTCACATGTTTTCAAAACAAATAAAAGCATTAAATTATAACATCTTTCATCTAAACTCAATTAACTCAATAAACATGTTAGCTGCTTCAGAATCTGAGTTAATCAAATTAATGAATTCTATAATGGTATTTGAAAATTGCAAAAATATAGAAGCTAATTACATAAATTCAAAAGATATTAAAATTAATAACTCCTCAGATAGCATAAGAGCGAATACGAGTAATATGGATATAATCAAAGAAAGTAAAGTTAATAAATCACATATGCTAGAAATACCTGATACAAATAGTAAGATATACTTACTAATACTATATAATCATTTAGCTTATAATACTATTTGGCGCTAATAAAAATATTTTTGTTAGTTACTATAATGCCAGAAGACATACCAAAAGAAATAAACTTCAATTTGTGGGACGAGATTGAGGCATTCTTTTTGGATTATAGTGTGTGAAATGGGTTCACAGCCAATAAATATAGAAAAAAAGTTCTAAGACAGGAATAGTACAAAATAGAACTTTTTGCTATGAATTTTATGGGACATACAAATCTAAGAAAAGTTTGGTAGCAGCTCAAAATGAAACACAACATAATACAAGAATGAAAAAGCAAAACTGCTCTTGGCACTATAACCTTTCGCTAAGCCAAACTGATTTTAAAATCCATGTTACAATACTAGTTAATAAATATAACCATATCCTTGTACCAGAAATTTATAAATTTGAACTTAAGTATCGATTATTAAATGAAAAAGCTATAAAAGAAATTGAAATAATGTCGAAACATAAAAACTTATCAATTATATCACAAAAAAAGCTTCTTAGAGCTCGCTTTCTAGATTTAAATATTTATGATAATGACTTTGCTAATGCTATTAGTAAAATAAAGCAAACAAATAACTTTAGTAAGGAAAATGACGCATCAACTCTACTTACTTTGTTAATAAAAAAAAAGTAAATAATCCATAATAGGCTATTGAATTTGAATTAGATGAAGAAAATTAGTTGATATGGCT